TCCGCTCCGTGATGATTGATATTTTTTATTCAGCCAACTTTTATTTACCTTGCAAAAATGTTCGGGACCAATGTGATAAATTACAGATATGCAAATTTCTTTGAATGGCGTTGTAAGTGTGTCTCGCTGGAGCTGAATGCGGCCTTGCAGTCGGTCTGCGCGCACTCAGGACCCCAGGGAGCTGATCAAAGCACCCTTTCTCTTTCATCCCCAGTATTCTCCTCCGAACTATTTCGATACAATATGTTTCCATGATGCACTCAATGTGCGAGGGACACAGGACTCATTACAACCTAGCTAGTTCTGCCGACCCCTTTGTTCCGAGGCATAAAGTTAAAAAAGGAGGAGGGGGCGCGGGGGGAGCTGCCCGTTGCCAGCTCTCTGAAATGTTAAAGCATGCGTCATTTTTCACCAGGTCTCGTCTCGATATCCTCAAAAGACAAGCTATGAAACCGGCCTCGGCCCTTCTGGCATTAATTACGCCGCTGTCCAACCGATCTGTTTTTCCTATTATATGCATTTCTCAGCGGGGATTTTTTTTTTTTTTTTTTTTTTTTTTTTTTTTTTTGCAAGACTAATGCAGCTGCGAGCCGAAGTATGAATGCATTTTATCAGTATAGAAAAAGATCGGCGGAAAGGCTGAAAAAGATGCCAAAGTCCGCGGCGGCTTTCTCGCCCGCCCCTGTCCGAGTCCGCTGGGCTTTGGAAAAGCGCTGCGAACCGCCCTGTGCTGTTACTAAAGGGTTCTGCCTCGAATTCGCAGCTCCTCAGAGGGGAAAATCTCAGGATAGAAAAGCAAGGAGGTGCCGAGTGCGGGTTATGCGCTCGCTGGATGCCCGTGCGCACAGCGCGCCTTCCCTCGCTCCCTCCCGAGCGTTTGGGGAAGCGGCCGCGGTCGGCCGTCCCCGCCCGGGGCGCTCCGCTCGGAACCTCCGCGAGGTCCGCTCGGGGCAGCGGCTCCGGCGGGTGACAGTCAGAAAGAAGCCCCATTTCGGCGGATGGCGTTTGTTTAGGGGCTGATTGGTTGACGGAAATGGCTGGCAGCCAGTTCTGGGAAAGATTCCAGACCTGACTCCGATTAACCCTCTCTGGTGAAACTCTGCTGGAAACCAACTCACCAGCAATTGCCATTAATCTACTTACTAATTAAGCCAATTCATTTCTAAAGGAGAAAAATTCCTTTCTTTGGCCAAAGTGATGGGAGGAAATTTGAAAGAAGCGCCAAACTGTGTAACTGTAATTCAGCCAAGGACTGCTAAAACGAGGTGTTGATATATAGCTGGAGATTTAAAACAAGTTTCTAGGGCAACAATCCTTTGGAGGCGGTGGTATATAGTGCATAGTAGATGAAGCTCGAATAATGGTGGACCGCAGTGTGCAATTGTACGGACGTTGGTTGGAACCGGGGCCGCGTTTCCCAATTAAGCCCTTCAAGGCTTTGACTCCTCCGGTAATTTATCCGCCCCGTTGCAGCGCTTCGGCCGTGGGCGACAGCTACGGGACCCAAAAACTACCGGAGCGGAGGCATCGCCAAAATTTTGTCCGGTGTCAGGGATGACACGTCCGGGTCTGGAGGCTCAGGAGGGGCGGGGGCCGCTCTCGGTGAGGCTCCTCTTTCGGCGAGCAACGTTTGGCTCCCGAAGAGCGAAGGCCGGGGAGGGGGCCCCAGGAAGACCAGCAGAGGCCAGGCAGCCCGAGAGCAGAAGGGGGGGTTCCGCCGCTCCTGAGTACCCCGCGTTGAACGGAGGAGGGAGGGTGCCGCCGGGGCCCCGCCTGCCCCGTCCCGCCGCTCACCCCCGCTCCCGTTTCCACGCCGGACCCCCTCGGTACCGCCCGGCAGAGACAGGGAACGGGACAGCAGGGACGCCCCGACGGCCACCTCCGCGTGCGAGAGCTGACGCGTTCAAGGGCGGATGGTTTAAACGAAGCGTCAAAGTTCCCCCGCGTTTGGTTTTGCAAGGTGTGGGGCTGCGAGGGCAATCGGGAGGATAGCAAATTCAGCGCTCAGGGACTCCGAGGCCGGGCGGGGAGGCGGCGGTCGGAGCGCTCCGCTCGGCGGGAGGTGGGGGCTGAGCTTCGCGCACGGCCGGACGCCCCCGGGGCGGAGGGGTCCCGGGAAGGGGTTCGGTCCCGCGACGCGGTGGGAGCGGACCTGCGGGCGGAGCCCGGGGCAGAACCGGGGGACGTTTCGTGACGGCGAAAGTCGCCGCGCAGAGCCGGTAGCGCCGTGTGCGCTCCTATCCCGGGCGAACACCGAACTTCTGCGTTTAATCTCTCTCCGAGATCATAAAAAATAGGACGCGATATCCTAAAAAGACTAATGACATTTCACAGGTAATGCAATTTAGAAAGCAACACTTCCATGTTTTCTTTTCCAACAATGTGCATTTTTGTAAACTGCTATAAATTGCGATTCAAAAGCCCTGATCTCGCCATCCCCAATCATTTTTTATACTGATCAAATGAATGCAGATACTCCCATTTGGGAGGGGCGACATGACATTTCCCTCGGCAGTTCTAAACAGGTCACGGACCTTTCACAGACCCTAAGGCAGTGGGAGGGAGCTCTTTACGAAACCGTGTAACCAAATCAAACCAATGGTTACCCCTTTTCAATACCGTTGGAATGGTTTGCACAATGCTATTCACATAGCAGCAGAGAAACTGAAAGGATGGTCATCCAATGGAAATTTCTTTGCTTTTGTTTAAACTTGCGGAGCTCAAAAAATACTAGAAAACAATTACTTTTTGTATGACAAAAAGATAAACACTCTCCGCGCAGCCGTGCGCGTACGCCACGGCCCTCGGCGTGCCGAGATATTTATCCACGGAGGCGCACACATGTGTGTGGGGATGTACATTTATCGGAGATGTTGCTTTGTTCGAAGCCATAGGCACAAAGACACAACATGGCTGCCCTGGAGATGACCTATTGCTTTCAAGTTGCTTGAACACATCAGAATTTCTATTGTCGAGGTTGATTAATTGTAACTGATAAGTTACCATGAATAAAGATTGTTTTTCTGTTTAATGTGGTGGGCCTGATTTGGTAAATGCTTCATTCATGTAGCCTTGCAGCGCAGCATATGGGCGAGATTCATTCAGTATCGCAAACATATACGATTTATTATGCTCGTATGGTCACGGCCAAAAGGCCTTTCTATTTTAATGACAAAGTTTGAATGAAAAATTCCATTTAAAGAGTCACTAACGTTAAACGTGCCTTTGTGATTTATTCCGGCTCCCGGCTGCCGGTGAACCGAGCGCCCGGGGCAGGGCCGTGCCCGCGCTCCGCCCGCACCGCGCACCGCGCATCGGCGGCGCCGGGACCCGCGCAGTGCCTTCACCCCGTCCCCGCCTGGCCTCGGCCGCAGCCGGCCCCGCTGTCTGCCGTGCACCGGCTCCCGGTGTGGGTGTAGCAGAGGGGTTTGTCTGCGGTGTGCGGGCACGCGGGGGATGCTGCGCTGATGGACAAGATAGCTGATTCAGCCCCACGCGGGCAGGAGAGTCTCTTCTGTTCTTTTGATGCGTGTTAAAATGTGTGAATATGATCTCTTCGATTACCTCTTGTCGGGATGGATAGTCGTTGTTTGAAAGTTTAAAAAAAAAAAATAATAAAAATACAAACTTTGAACTCCCTTCTGCTTACAGGTCCCCTACTCTCGAAAAGGGGCTGAAAGCAGCAAAGAAAACCTCGCTTAACAGAAAAACCATCGAATAATTCCTCTGGTCTGCAGCCTGCCTCTGGGGTCCTTAGATCCTGTTCCTGCCCATTTGAGGGGTCTTCTAGAACTGAATTTAACAAAATCAGCACCTTTGACAAGCAGGCAAAGTAGAGCTTATGCACCACCACGAATAATTGACTAAACATAGGGTTGATATTTGTGGAAAAAACACCAAAAACCAACCAAACCCTTGAAAGAGCCCTTTCAAGCATTTTAAAAAATATGACCTCTTAACCTTTTCTTCCCCTTTTGACAGAGTAATTTGAAACAGAAACAATGTAATCTATCAAAATAAGTTGTGTTACTTCTGTAAATCAGATATTTATGTTTGAGCTTTCTCTTGCTGACAAGCTGTAAAGGCTCACTGTTATTCTAAGGGTTTATCTCCGTGGTTCTTGTCTTTTCTGCTCATTAAGAGTCTGTCTACAGATTACAAAGTCAATAGATGCAAACACCAGACTGTGAGAAAAATCTCCCTGAGTACATAAAAACCAACAGCAGTGGACGCTGTACAATGGAAAGCATAGATGTTTGTAGGTGTTCAGTTTTATCATCTTCAAACAAGAGTAATGGGAGTAAACACTGTGGCAAAACTTCACCTTCCAGTGTTGTGCACTTCCTTTTGTCATTCCTGAAGGCTGATCTTTAGTTACCATCCTTTCTTAGTGGCAAATTTAGTAAACAGTTTAATTGAACAATGGTTTACAGGTATTTTGAGTTTCTTACACAAAACACCGATGCTAATTATCAGTCCAGCTGCAATGCAGAGGACCTGGATGGGATGACTCTATGGTTATGTTTATGGTCATCCTCTAAAGGGATGACTGACCTCACTGAGTCTCATTCATTTCGTTAAAACACTCTGAGGGATCCTGGGCCCTGAGCAAGTTTAAGTTGTTAAGAAGAGCCTTTAGGTGTGGACTTTAAATGTTTTATGCCCTAATGCATTGGAATTACATGCACGTCTTGTTAATACTTAAATATATACATTGCCAGTATTCTTTTGTCTGTGCTTGTACATTAAATAGAGATTAAAACTAAAACTAGACAAAACCTCAGCTCCAACCCAATCCACAGTAGGGGGCACTTATGCATGAGTAGGCTGAAATGCACAGCTGGATGAATGGTACCAAACTTTAAAAAGTCATTTGTTCATCTGAATAATACTGTTTTAAACCTCTGCAAGAATTAAGTTGTATCATCTTCAAGTTTTGGGAGGGAAAAAAAAAAAAAAAAAAAAAAAAGCATAAGTATTTCCAAAACATTCATGTGCACACTAGGAGGTCTGTAGTGGAAAGCTACTCAAGAGTAGTCTGAATTCTGCACAGATGCCACTGCTGTCTGTGAAAGGCCCAGTTGCTAATGCCCAGGGAGTTGTTTGAGCACATGCCTTTAAGAGGAATAGCCAAGAAATAAGTGAGGTACAGGCTTAAAAAGGACATTTAAGCAATCCTGTCACACACTTAAAATCATCTGTTTATCACGTACTTTTATAACAACAACAACAACAAAAGGTAGCTAAAATCATTAAATAACTTCCCACTGACTAGAACTCATGCAATCTTTGCGGAATGCCATTCCACCTTCCGACGAAACGACATCAGCACATATCAGAGATTCCATCCCCTGGCTGTTTGCAGACAGATCTCTGGTAACAGGCACTAATCAGGGTTGAGAGTCCGGCTGACTGCTGGAAAGGAAGGACAGCAAGGCCACCGCTTCCACTGAGCTGGAAGCCGCCCCCGGAGCTGGTGGTTCGCCCAGCGATCGGTTCTACGGCGGGGCCACCGGTGCGCGGCCGTGTGCGGGAGTGGAGCTGTCAGTGGTGCTGAAGCGCGGCGTGGGGGCAGGGAACGGCCTCAGGTGGTTGTGGGCCAGGGGCGCTGGCGACGGTCTGGGACGTGGGTTCAATTTCTCGCGTCTCTCTTTTTCGAAAAGATCAACACTTGTTAAAATGGTAGCAGCAATTCTTTTCAGGCAAAATGACAGACAAAAGAAACATCCGAACTGCCTATATTTGCACAGATCGGTTTGGGAGTTCTAGTAAAAGAAAGACTTCACGAAGGCAGAACTGCTAGAAGATTGCACTCTTCTTGTGCTGAAAGAATCAAACTGAGTTACTGTGTGTCTTCTTCTATTAACAATCAGCAAACAGTATGAAAAAGTAATACCGCACAGCAATGTTTTTAATCTTGGTCCTGTTAAAAACAAAACAAAACAAGAACAAAACAATAATAACAAAAACAAAATAGAAAAAAGCACAATAGTTTATAACCTGAATTTCAACTCTATTTATTTGTATATTATTTAACCTTATAACTGTTTAATTGTACTTAGTATCATCTGTTGAATATAAAAATACAGCTTCATGTACTTCAGATAGTTCTATGTAATGTGTTTTATCTTTGATTCATGAAGAGACTTGCATAATAAGGGTGCTCTTGTTTTGAATGATAAAACATTTGGTTCAAACTCATAAAACGCTGGCAATTATGAAGAGGTGCTAGTAACAGTGCCTGTCTGGACAAGTTCCTGCTTGGTAGGTATTTAAAAGGGTTATGCATTTGTTACACAGACTTTGAAGAGTAAAGGAAACTAGAGTTAATTTTATTGTGTGAAGCATCCAGACTCTAAAGTTATTGGACTTTCCTCTGCTTATTAAGAATGCACACTCTCTATGTGGAACTAGAAGAGCCATAAACACACACATATCTGAAACATCCCTACTTGCTTAAAAATATATATATTAGAGGATTCCTGCAAGTCCTCTGTTCCTGTGTCTTGAACAAGATAGTTGTGTTTTTGAGATAAGTGTAAATTTGCTATTAAAGAACTTTTTGATTCAAATCCTAAAGAATCCTCCACTTGTATACTGGGCTTGTATACTGGGTATACTGGGCAGTCAACTCCAGCAAGAATGTAATAGATCTGAGTCATTTTGAATGTAGCCTTCCACATGGGGAGGAACTGACACTGAATTAATGCTCCAAAAGCATACAGGACTAACTTAGCTCTCTTTTCATAGTTTCAACAGCCAACTGGAAGAAGGAAAGATCTGATTGTTCACAAAATACTGTGACATACAATATATTCTTCATGGTTGCCCTTATCACTGTTATTTACTGATCACAACACAGCCAATGCTAATTGCAAAACAGTAGAGGTGACTAAATGTTTGCAGAATTAGGACTGTCCAAGGGATCAATCCTATCAGAACAATCACCACACTTGTGATACCTCTAACTCACCGCAAAATAAAAGTAGTTTGTACATGCAGAATCAGAATAGCTGAAGAAGAGCTACATAAACAGAATACAAGGAGTACAGCAATGTTCAAAGTAAAAACTTGTATGCTGGAGTGCATAACAAAACCAAAGGGAAATGTTTAAATGATGTCCACGCATTTACAGGTAAAAATGTAGAAAAGGTAGCAATTCTCTATATTTACATAGTCAGAAATACATATGAATATTACACCAAATCATTTAGATATGTGTAGTTTGTTCTAGACATAAGCACAGCCACTTGAATTAAACAGTGCTATCTGCATATTGATATTGATACTAAGCATCTTGCCAGAGAAGGAGCCATAAGGTATTGGTAAATAAATTGTTATACCACATATCAAATAAAAAAAGGCCCTCAGAACAATCCTTTTTAAATAAACCATTAACTAACATTCCTAATATTGTTACTGAACAATATTGTGCTTAATTGCAATTACATTTTTAAAATTATTTAATAGTAGAGATATTGAAAAGAAGAGGGTTTAGTATTATAATCATGCATCTTTGTTGTTGTGGTGTATTTTTGATAGATGCTAAAAGAAAAGGTAAATAAAATCTCATAATGTTCTTTACATACAATTTAGTAGTGATATAAGAATTCAGCATTGAAATGGCATTATGTTCATCTATTTTCTTGTGGGAAGAGAGGACTATTCACAATCACACAGAACTATGCTGGAAGGGACCTCTGGAGATCATCTACTCCAACAACCCTGCTAACACAGATGTCCTAGAGTAGGTTGCACAGGAAAGCACCCAGGCAGGTTCTGAATATCTCCAAAGAAAGAGACCCCCAAAGTTCTGTATACATCAAAGGTTTGCAGGAAAAGGTGTCTGGAGAAATACGATTATGTTCAAGTATATTCTGAAGAGTTAGAAACAAATACTTAAATTGCAGAATAGGGTATGTTGCATTAAAGATGTCAAACTCACCGTCTTCAAACACTGGCCATTTTTGTTGTGTTTAGAAGCCTAGGAAATTCACCTGTGTCTTCTTTCTGCTTTCCAGTAGACTGGGAACATAATGGCGGCTAGATGAGAAATATTTTCTTGTTGAAGATCATTAGAAGCTGTTAGTTTACTGTAACTTGGATTCCTCCCCTGAAATAATCTGATAAATCATTCACTGAGCTTTAAGCATTAGACTTAAAAGACAAAATGAAATGTTATTGTTTTGGGCAACTGCTATTCAGAACTTTAGAATGCCATTTCATTTCTCACTCTGGTCTTCCCATTTATTTTAGTACTAGATGAATCAAGCTTATATCAGTCTTGTTACTCACGGAGAAATGCTATTTTGGCTCTTACTCAGGTAGTTACAGTTGCAGCCACAAACATCTATTTATAATTTCAAGTTACATTAGCTTTAAAACTGAATGTGGATTTCTTTACATAAATGTTTGTTACTGCATGCACATGACAACCAACATTTGGAAGATACGAATATGTTAAATATTTCAATCATGTGAAATGCATTTAAATCATCCCAATTTGTGTTGTAAAGAAAAATATCTCTGTTTCAGCAACAAGTCATTGTCTCACATTGAGAAATTCTTTCACTGAAAAAATTGTCCATTATGAAAATGATGAATGTTGATTCCTGGATATGTCGAAGTCTTATGTTTCACAAAATTGTCAAAAATGCTATCCCTGTTTACTGCAGAGCATATCTAAGCTTTTATGTTCTGAAAAAGAAAAATGCTTACCAAAGTTGAAGGTAAATGTGAGCCATCTTTGAATCTGTTTGTGTCTTTTATGTCATTTTCAATACAAACAGGGCAAACCATCTGTAAATGACAGACCAGACGTATATTAAACACATTTTAAGACAGTGCAGTTTAAGCATATGAGCTGATAAGCAAGAAATCAACATTAATAAAAGATTTTGAAAAGGTTGCAACATTTTTTTTGACTCTTATTGAATATGGAATTGCAATGCATAACCTTTTATAAATCAGAAGGATATGTTTTAACTTGCCTTCTCCCGAATTTTCATTTTTTTACAAGAAGAGTTGAATATATTTGGAACTAAAGTTGATATATTAATATCCTATATATGTATGAATATATCAGATGTATTTCCTTTATCAGGAAAAAAATCAGTGGAGGTAACTGAAGTAACAAGTCTGTGCAAGTCCTGTACCTTAATCTAGGACATGCTTCACCCTATTAAACTTCTCCAGAAAGAAGAGTCAAAATGCCAGTCTTGACATTTGTACACACTTGCATAGGAGGAGAATGGATAGCTTTTTGGGGCTGTACTCCCTGCTGTGTTAAGACATACAACACAGAGCAAGAAATACACTAAGTCTTATAGCTCCTAATCCCTCTACTTTCTGTCAGGTGAAGCAAGGAGAACTCTGTAGTTTTAGTTCAAATTCACAGTCTGAAAAAGGTACCATTAAGGCTCTTTCATATGCTGTAGATAGATGTTATGTCACCCCAGTGATTTATTCCAGCAAAACGTATGCAATATTTGTGCACATACTATGCACACGAGATGGTGCTGTGTGCAGCTGAGCATATCCAGCTTTGAAAATCCGCCTTTGTTGGATTTACCATTTCACAGTTTTTGCTATCAGAGTTGTTTGACTTTATGCTATAGGCTGGCTTCTATGACTTGTTACATTAGAAAGCTCAGCATGACTTTCAATAAAAACATAACAGTTCAAAAACAATCCAGTTGCTGTGTCTCTACTTACTGTTTCACCAGGAGATGCATATCTAAGTGCCAGTAACTGGCGTTGCAGTGTTTGTCTAAGAAACATCTCATCCTTAATTGCATGCAGACTGAAAAAAATCTCATATTACATGAACTTATATTATGCTGCCATTCTGAAGAGTACCATACATAACACTGAAGTTTAAAATTGCCAGTTAGAGAAAACTTACTTTTCATATCTTTTACAGGGGAAATAGTTAGGTAAACACTATTGATCAGCAGAAACAGAGCAAATAACCAGTAAGAATTCAGTAATCCATATCAATTAAAATGCCATTAATATATTATATTAAGTATAGTATATTAAATACATGAGTAAAGTAACAGATCCTATGCAGTGGAAAAATCTGTGAGGAATAGAAACAGAACTGGAATTCCAAATACTGTCATTTTTCTGTCTGTAAATTTACTGTATCGTTAACCACTGAGTGCTGATACTTTATCTAATCAACGAAAATTGCTACCTAATTTCTCAAGGTCCAGTTCACGAGGTAATTTGAACAGCTGTATGTTTTTTTCCTCTTTCTGTACAAAGAAAGGTATTACAATACTGAAACAGAACTTTTAAAATAAGGTAAGCAAAGGAAAAAAAAATAAGATAAAAATTGTACCAGGTGGTAGGTTTTTTTCTTAAGTGAGGGTAATAGTTTGGATGGTTTGGATTACTTTCCCTGTATTTGTCATGAAAGTTTGATAACTGGCATTTAAACAGGCTCTTGTGCCACAAAATAACCGGAGTTCAGTTGCAGTTAAGTAATACTAGAAGACAACATGACTTGATATGACTCAAGTCGTTGACATTTACAGAGATTTTAAAGTAAAAAAAAGTTTGTATAATTAAAAAACAAACAAACAAACAAACAAAACATTACAAAAACCATTTTACATTAACTAGCACCTGTCGCAGCTGTTACACTCGAGTGGGCAGAGATGACAAAGTTTGATTTCTGTGCCCTGTTCGTGTGTGGTTACAAGATAAGAACTTCACAGATCTTTTAGCTACAAATAGTAAATTAAGAAAGAAGCAAAGGAACACTTAAATGGATTTCATTTTTATGAAAAATGAAAGAGAACTGTTATTAGAAGGAGCAGTCAGACACATGAAATCTCCTCCAAAAACAATGCCTCCTGTTCTATTGTGTTGGCCACACTGTCAGAGGTGGAAGGTGCTGGTAGGGCAGTAGGGACTGAACCTTCCTGCCAATATTCTGGTACATTTTGCTGCTGCGTGAGAGATGGCAGCAGAGGGGCAGTCCGACTGGCATGTGACATGGCAGAGCATAGGAATTAAAGGAGTGTAACTGAATTGCTCCATATGGGTAAAATGGCACCCACTGACATTCATCAATGCTTGTTGGATGTTTCTGGAGACCAAACAGTGAATGTGGGCACAGTGAGGTGGTGGGTGGTGTGATTTAATAGTGGAGACAGTGACAGAGGGTCAACTCCACTCATGCAGATTTTTACAAGCATGGAATGCAGGATCTTGCTCTTTGAAATGCATAGCTAATGGTGGTGTCTGTGTTGAAAAAGAGTGTTCTGTAGGTGTGAATTTGCTCTATCAAATGCTATTATTGGGCTCTTTGTATCAGTTGTCATTTCGCTGGAAATAAACAGGAGGCATTACTTTTGGAGCAAGCAACATTCAGTGCTCTCTAGATATTTTTCAGGCATTTCATCTACCAGGCCACAGTCTTTGATGATATTCATAAACACACTGAAGTTTTTCTGATCACAAAGGGGCTCACATATTTTATAGTTAAAATTTTAAACTATGAACATAATAGAATAATAATTTATAGCAATGTACAGCATAAAATTCAAAGTAAATATGCTGACCAGGTAATCCAACTGTCATGTAAAAATAAATTGCACAGTCCTTTAATATACTGTCAGGAAGAAAAAAGAAGCAAAGAATAATGATTTTCCTTCCTATAGACTATTTGTATCTTATCATTAATTGCCTTTTTATCAAAGTTAATCTGTTTCCATGATGTGAGAGTTCTTTGCTGCATATAAAATTAGAAATTAATCTCTTTCTTAAGCAACTAATTCTAATGTTCTCCATTAGAAAATGCTCCAGTCCCTGCCCATTCAGTAACACAGTAAATACTCATTAAGATAGAGCTGAATAGATATCAATAATAGAATTTTATTTTTCTACTGAGTCTTGCATGATTGCTAAGAACACTGATAAGACTGTCATTATGTTATCACTGTATCAACATGATGTATTCTCACAATTTTCAGATGAGAGGATAACTTGAGGCCAATTTCAATGAATGACAAACTTAACAAGAAGCTCTCCATTGACCGTATGAATATTGTATCAAACTGTATAAGCACAGAGGACAAAGTGTTTGCTGTGCAACAGATGTGCTTGCAGTACAGTTCACCATTTGTAGGATGAGAATTACAGCATTCTCACACTATTGAGAGTGTTGGGGACATAAAAAATAAAGGAAAACAACCATCTGAAATACAGTAGAGTGTGAAGTTGGAGGGGAGTTTGTCTTTCTAAAATATGCTTCCAGCTCAGTTGGATTTGAAACTCTTTAGAAATTCTCAGAATACAATCGGTCTCTGGAGGTGTTGAAGAATCATGTAAATGTGGAGCTGAAGGACATGGTTAGTGGGCATGGTGGGGATGGGTTGGGGTTGGACTAGATGATCTTTTCCAATCTTAATGATTCTGTGATTCTATGGTTCTATGATTCTACAGTATATGGATTTTAGATATTCTTAATTTGAAGTTTTCTTCCTAAAAGCTATCATGGAGTTATCAGGCCTACGAGAACGGTGACTTCACAACATGACACCAAATATGTGTGTTGCTCATTCTAAGATGCAGACTAAAGATATGTGAGTGTTTGAAAATCCAAGGTTTTGAGTGATAGCAGCAGAGGACTGCATAGTGCAGAGGGAGCCAAACCTAATGCCATCTGATCTGTGCTGCTTATAGAGCACACACAAGAACCAGAACAGCCCTAGGGTTTTATCTTGAAGAACTGATTGCTTTATTCCAAATGAGAATATATGAGTGACGTAGTTGTCTTCATAATTAAAAATTACTTGCCAGTATAAATACAGTCATAGCACATCTGGCTACCCAAGTGTTTCTTGCCCTAGAAACACCAGAAGTGTTTTTCAATTGGCAGGATAATACCAAGGGAGCTCCTATCTTTTCCAGAGTTTTCAATATTAGTCACAGACTAAAAGGCAAACAAGGAAACTATGCTGAAGGGGTGTGATGGAGATCACAATTCTCAACAGGTATCTATGGCTGAGCAGTGATCCATGGGATCCTTAGTGTTAATTTGCTAGAAATTCATTAGATTTGGCAACTGGAGGAAATTGGTGGGTTTCAATAAGCCAGCATGTTCCAGCCAAAATGTTTCAGAATGCAGAAAAGGAAGATGAAGAAGAAGGAGAAAACCATTTGAGTAGAAGAGCACACATAAAAGATGACTGTGACTACATGAAAAAAGCAGAAGAAAGTCCTATAATTCTGGGATAAAGAAAGAGTTGTTACAGAAAATGTTAAAGTATGAAATAAGAGAGAGAAAAAAGATCTTTGAGGAAGAGGAACTTCCTTAGGAAGGAAGTCACAGGGAAACAAACTGGTTAAAGAACATGGGTTTTAGCAGATTAAAATCTCATTCAAACATGCTACAGAAAGTCCTCAAAGAAAAATTAGTCTATGCACACAAGTTTTGTTTCTAAGATCATTCACTATTTACTCAATCATACAAAATGTCCTGTTTGAAATGCTTATGATCTGCTACAAGCAGGTGAAAAGTGTATTATTCAACTCAGTGTTATTTAATTCCAATTTTTAAAATCTAGCTATTATATCCTCAGATACTAATAACTATGCAACTGAACAATGTATACAGCAACCTCAATTTTCGTCATTTATATATATACATATTTCATCATATCACATATATATACATTATATATATATATATAATTTGCAAAGTCTATTTTAGTATTTTATCAACGCAACCAGTGTTGTTATAATACTACACCTGTTTTGTACAATCTGGAATTTCTTCTTCCATATTGCATTATTTTGCTCAGCTTTCTTTCTACAGAGAAAAAAAAAAATAGAAAAAGAAGTGGTTAAAATTGTGTAGGGGCTTCTCAAGTGTCTTCAAAGCAATCTTAGAAATATTGACCACTACCTTTCTATAGTTTGCCTCTCTTGGCCTTCACATTTCTTCATTTTCCCGTTTTCAGTAGTCAGGGACCTTTCAGGAGACTGCTGCTCAGGTGCTACATTTGTTATCTAAATGTAAGTAAAACATTATTTATTTTCTTAATCATCTTGCAAAAACAAATACAGGTTTTGCTCATACGCAGTGGTATTCCTGTGACAAGTTTTCCTATTTTGGTCTATTAAATATTTCCAGTACTCTGCTAATAATTGAAAGATTTTGCAGCCTAAGCCAGCAGTTCAAAGTCGGCTCATTTTTTCTATTGTTTCTAAGAATGGTGGCAGTGAGGCAATGTTTTGTCAGTTATAACAAGAGCAGCACGGTGGGCAATTAGTTGAATTTATCCTAGGTTTACGTGTCTGAACCTCACCTTAGCGCTGTATATGTGTCTGAACCTCATCTTAGTGCTATCAGTGGGAAAATTACCATTGCCTTAGATGTAGGAGGACACGAGACTGACCACTGCAAATTCCCCAGAATAAAACCAGCAGTATGTGGAAAGTATACAGTAAAGAAATTAGAAAAAAAAGTCGACTCTCAGATCTAGACCTGATCTGTACAATTGTGTCTATACTTTGGGTCCAGGAATACTTCCTGATCTTTGGTTCTGTGTGGATGACCTGCCACTAATCAGTCCCACATCAAGTGTAAGGGTAGGAAATGCCAGGTGCATAGACTTAGAAGGAAGCTGTGGGCCATTTCCAGCATGGATCACTGGATGGAAGGACATATGCAGGTGCCAATGGAGCACGCATAGGGGAGACCTCATTGCTCTCTGCAAGTACCTGAAAGGAGGTTGCAGCAAGGAGAGTGTTGGCTTCTTCTCCTGTGTGACAGCTAATAGGACACAAAGCAGAAGTCTCCAGTTGTGTTACAGGAGGCTTAGATTGGATATTAGGAAGAATTTTTTCAAGGAAAGAGTGATCAAACATTAGAATGGTGAAGTCCCTATCCCTGGAGGTATTTAATAGACATGAGCACATGCCACTATAGGGCATGGGACTCGGGAAGACATGCTGTGGTTGGACTTGATGATCTTGAAGGTTTTTTCCAACCTGAACAGTTCTACAACTTCTCTTTCATAAGAAGTTCCCTTTGAAATTATGTGTTCTCCTCAGGCAGCACTGTTTCAGTTTCACCTTACATTGGCAGATTAGTCATTGCAATTTCTTTTTCTTCTACTTGCAGTGCTGAAATCTAACCATGGCCATGAAAAACTGGTTTAGTATCCTATAATATTTTTATCCCTCATGAAATTGGAGTGCCATTAATTGGGCATGACATATCAGGAATCTGCAACATGCTAACCCACCCCAAATACACCATTCTCTCTCAGCAAGATGTCCTTGCAACTTCCTCCAACTGTAAATTATAGCCTACAGTACACAAAGAAAATAAAAAATCAAATGAAAAAAACAACAAAGATAAGAAGCCTCAGTCCTCTCCTCAGTCATTTCCTACTTCTACACACCTCATCCAAATATGTATTCCTTCCTCCAAGAGAAACATTCAATCCCTGTTATATTTCCACAGTTCTCCACACAGTCACACATGAATCTGGTATGTTATACACTCGTCTGTTTGAACAGAAATTTCAGGCTGTCAGAAGTGTTTTGTATTAAACCCTTGCTCTTTCCCCATCAAGTCATCACTTTGTTTTTTCAGCTGCATATGCATTCCATTTTCTCTCAAATACACATGCTGGTGGCTGTGTGGCTAGTTCAGAGGTGCAAAAATCAGAGTTAAAGAATAGATAGTATTGCAGATACATGGCAGTACCAGGCCTTCTAAACAAAGAAAAGCCATTTTACTGACATACTATTAAAAATCAAATTAAATTAATTGCAAATATCAATTATTATTAAAAGACTTAAAAAAAAATTGCATGATCGAATTCATCTTCCAACACTGATTTTCACTGATGACACTCCAGATTTCAGTAGCAATACAGCTAGGTAAATGCAGAGCTGTAAAAACAGAATTAGGCCCAATGTAACTATACACAAAATATCAAACCATGTGCGTAATGGTGCAAAGCAGCTCCAAAGTCCTAGGATTTAATTTCTAGCTGATTCTTTTTAAGAATTACGGATGCTTGAAATATAAGGCTAATGGTGTGTAGCCTTGACTGATCCCCTCACTGACTGCTGGGACAGGTTAGGGTAGAAAAGACCACATTTAAAGACTTTCCATATTTTGAAGATCCGTAGCTCTTGGAATGGTCCCCTGAGGAAGCAGTAGCTGTTCTGAACTCTAGTTCAGGATGGCAGTTGAAAAGAAAACGAGAGTTGTACCTGTTCTTCATTTAAGAGCTTATATGAAAAAAAGGATTAAAAAATAGATAACTTTAATCCCTGTAGGGATTTCCAGTAGGGATTAAAGTTTGTAATGTTTCTACTTAAAATAAATAAATAAATAAATGTATCTTGTTAAATCTCTGTCATCATGTACATCTCTCAAAATGATGCACTTCCTGTCTGAAAAGAAGAACAAATGTCTTTGCAAAAGCAACCACAAACTGGATAAAAGATCAGCTTTTGGAGATAAGCGAAACTCCTGTATCATTTCAAGAGCACCTCCAGATCATAGAAGCATATTCTTAATACAGAAGAAATCTTAATCAAACTTTTAATCACAAAAAATCTTTGCTATTTATGCTATGTTTCTTGTCCTTCAGTTTTAAAACCTCAGACAGGCAAATTAAGATTTTATTCAGAATTAAATGTGAAATTGATATAAACTGTGAATGTTATTTGCCTCTTCCCATCATTTGAAATATTAGTTCATTTTCATTTTTGCTTTTCAAAATTAGGATTGTATCGTTTTAGGTACTTATTTTTGTCAGTCACTCAATCTAGTGCAGAGTGATTGACTAAATGTTATATCCTCTTTAAGCTGATTGAAGGTAATGAAACAAATTTCTGCCCCCTATTGATCTATCCAATGAAACACTGCTGAAGGGCTGAGAAACTATTGCTTACTTCTTTCCATCTGATTTAAGTTCCCATGTTAGATTAACGTTGTTCAGATTAGGACACCCCATCCATAAGCCTCCTGAATAATCTCCACTGAGAACCTGAGCTCTCAACAGCCACCCATGGTACATTTGCATGGTCTTTGGACTGCCTCAACACATGGCCATCTGTCATCATTGCATGGTGCCTCTCCACAACTGGGTCGGACCCTTGCCTGAGGGCATTAGGTTCCAGACAATGCTGGTTTAGATGAGCAGTTTGGTTAACACTACAAGGGCCATCTGTTCTACAGGAAATCCTTTCTCTGTGTCATTAATGAAGTATTTGCAGCACATAACTATATATTTGTCTACTACTGTAAGCTTTTAGGTAACAGCAATTGTGAGGGCATGTTATTTGCAATGGAACAAAATAGTCTTCAAAAATACCAAACTTTGTTACATATATCATGTTTACCTGTTACAGCTTAGTAGAGATGAAAACCAACTACATATTTAGCAGTGGAAGTGGTTAATTAGCTATGGCTTCAGCATAGCTATAACACCTCAGAACCTCAGGCAATATAAAAGAACTGAACTTGATCTAAACCTTGCTAAAAAAGTCTATTGTCTTCTGAAAAACAAAATACGAATCCCATCAAAGGATTCAAAAATTTAACTTTGGTAGGGAAGTGTTAATCTTCTGTAGCATATTAACTTGTTGATTATAAGAATCATATTTTGGGGAAGACATTTCATATATTTCTGCCTGTAATAAAATATATAATTATTTTCCAGAAAATGAAGCATAGCCAGAATCTAATAACTTAAGTTTTACGTGCTTACTATGCTTTCCATCCACTGTTCAAATAGACTTGGCTTTCAGACACTGGAATTGCAACTTGCTAAGTAGGAAGAAAGAGAGCTGGGAAAGAGCACTTGGCAACTATTATTTTGATAGAATATCCCCTTCCTCCAAATCTCATTTTCATTGTAAAAGGTGAAAGGTGAAATTCAATGTACTACTTAGAACAAAAAATATCTATATTACAGAGAGAAATTCACCTTGGGAAGACTGCTAAGTTCCTGAATGTTTCTAAATGTGATCACTGTGGGCTGAACAGCCATGAAGGCCCAGAGATGGATGAAAATGCAGTGGGTGTATAGATGTCACTTTCTACCTAATGCAGATGAATGTTATATCAGACACAGCGACCTGACTGGGAATCTTCTATACTGAGGAGCTTCAGAAGTACAATTTCTTTTTTTTCATAAGTTCTGAAATTACAACTACTTGAGAAATTATGAAAAATCTTGGCGGAAATTACTGATTATAGGATATACTCACAGCCTCCTTCTGGTCTACTTAAGCTCAAAAAAAATTCAGAAAACTTGAATGAACCTCAATACTATTTAAATCTGAAACACAGATTTTAACCCCAGTAAATCATTTTTTTTTCCAATAACTATAATTATTACAATTATATGTAATGCTATAATGAGTAATAACGAGTATGTATAAAATAATCAAAATACAGAGAAAGAGAACTATTTAGTCTGTATTAAATACCTCAAGTTAAGGGGCAAATCTAGGGAAGCTAGAGAATAAAATGGAACCAAGAAATAGAACTGAAAGTAATGAAACTATGAAACAGATTTCAGGAGAACTATGGCAAGACTTCGACACTCTTTCTCTTGCACTCCTACACCCTTCTCACTATTAAGTTTCTTGAACATGAATTATTTGCTCTAAATAGAGAAGATATTGAAAAAATATTTTAAATCTGTTTGATGAAAGTAAGTAGAACAATGTACTTTTCCATCTGCAACATACTGTTTTCCTAACAAACTTACATCCATCTCCTCTTTGCTCAGTAGTGCGTTTATGCAGTCATCAGCTATCACAGAAGCAGCATAAACAGATATCCTATTATTTTCAATATCTTAATCTGTAACAAAATGGATTTTCTTATGTAAATAAAATCCCTATCTGGATACATAAAAATTTCTAAGGTGAATGCAGGCGTCCGCTTGCTCTGTCTACAAAACAAAATTGTACAACCAAATTGGCTACAGTACAAACGCTGAACAAAATATCAGCTAACACCATATGTGTAC